AGAAACACTTTATGTATAAATTTGTATTAGCATTCACGTCAGCCATGGTCTTTATGTAGGACAAGAAATCAAAATACTTCACTAATTGGGTGGCTATCCAATGAATCTGCAAATATGACTCGTGGCCCTCCACTGGATTTATATCAGGGAAGGCTTGGGCCAATCTCAACACTCCATGCTACAGTCCTTGAGCCATCCATTAGCAGTTTTTGTGATGCTGAAGGATGTACTATCCTGCTGATGGAGGTCAGTAGCATCAGGAAGATGTCGGCTGTTTGCTACAAAGTTAATTTAGGTCACACTCATCAAGGTAACAATATGCGAAATTAAGATTTTTATGTATAGATATGTTGTAATGACATGGCTCATTTTTTTTTGTTCGGGTTAAATGGTCACATATATTTATTTTTGTATTAATTGAGCATTGTATCAACAAATAACAGTAAATCATAACAATTAATGTTTGATAACTGCAATGTTGGCATGCAGTTAGTACATTGTATAGGGAGTAGCTGGTAATAATGGCCCTAGGGCATGGTAGAAAATTCCCCCCCTAAAAAAGGTTTTTTCCTATATTGTAGGGCTTCTTGATGTTGCACTCAGCCTAATCACATCAGGTAGTTGCTGCATTACTCCCTCTAAACTGGACTTAGGGTACAGAAAAGTACAAATGGGACAAAAGCTCTACATTAACAATAAGAATGCCTAAATAAAACACTAAACGTTGCCTTAATATGTGCTTATACTGATAAACATTTTAAAAAGGATGGAGAGGATCATAATGCATTATAGCTTGATCGTAACAAAATGGAATCTAAATTTTCAGTAAAACCCATTAAAATACACGAGAATGCCAGCAAAACGTCTGTGGGCACAAACATCTTTAACGAAATGTGCAGTTGGCTTTGTTGTGCAGGACAGACGGATGGAGGGAGGTACGTGGAACCTTCATGTCCCATCAGCTAGTTTACTGTCCACCTCCTCTCAGTATGTCGCAGAAACTTGACGCACTCAGCCTGACGTAGTCCTGGGAAGCAACTGCTGTTTGTAGATACCAGCCAGAGCTTTGGAAGCACTGTGGATCATCTGGCGTTGGGTTAGGCCTGTCATGGCCTGGTGCCAGTCTGTTCTGTTGATGTTGGGAAGGCTTTGCTCCAGGACCTCACCCACGGTAACACTCAGACCTGACCAGCGCAGGCTGTAGTCAGGAGGGGTCATGGACTGAGCCTATATGGGGAAGGTTACAAAAACACTGTGAGTTGTAGCAGGTTTCTACATGGGAGATTTTGAAAAAAATAATTCTACGGTACAACCTGACATTTTTTGTTCAAAGACAAAAAGTCAAGAGAAAACTATAGAGCCTGAAAAAGGTGGGAAACTTTATCTTCTACCAGCATGACAGGATATTGCCAAAAGTATTTGCTCACCCTTCCAAATCATTAAATTCAGGGATTCCAATCACTTTAAGGTGTATAAAAATCAAACACTTAGGCGTGAAGATTGCTTTTAAAAACATTTGTCAATGGGTCCCTCTTATTTGCTCAGGAGTTGGGTTTAGTTCTAGCATCCCAAGATATGTTTGCCAATTTCATGACCTTCCCACTAACACATTACCTGCCTTGTGGAAAGCCTTCCCAGAAGAATTACAGCTGTAAAGGTTGGGCGGACAACATATTCAAGTCTGTGGATAAACAATGGGATGCTACTCAAATTTGTTTGAGTGTAAAACCAGGCAAGCCAATACTTTTGTCGATATAGTGTACAGTGTTCCCTCGTTTATCGCGGGTGTTACGTTCAAAAAATAACCCGCGATAGGTGAAATCCGCAAAGTAGCGAACTTTATTTTTTACAATTATTATTAAGATGGTTTAAGGCTGTAAAACCCCTCAATACACACTTTATACACATTTCTCAGAAAGGGGATCGACATTTTCACACGTTTCTCTCTTGTTTAAACACTCTCAAAGTTCAAATCTTCGAAAATAAGTCCAGCATTATCGAATGAAACCAAAGATCAAACCCTGTTTTCAGGTCCAGAACATGGGCACAGAGCAGCTGTGAGAGAATTCAGCATTAATGAATCAATGGTACGGAAGTAGAGGAAGCAAGAAGAATGAGTTCAGTAAAGTTTGACTTATCTGACTGTTTGGTTTCACTTATAATCCTTTTGTGTTTGTTGTCTTCTGCTAGCGAAGATTTATGTAAATTTGACAAGCTGGACGCAACTGTACTGTACAGGAGACACGGCACGATGAAATTGATTGAAAATGGTCTACAGTTGATCAGGACGCAGAACACAACGCACTGTGACAAAACAAAAAAACAAACAAACAAAAAACCAGCGAGGCCGTGAAAACTGAACCGCGATATAACGACGGACCACTGCATAACAAATCAAAAACGAAGGGAAACCTACAATACTTACTCAAGCAGTGTTGGTTTAGCTTGACTATAGAAGGTAACAGGCCTTTTTAAGCAGGCAAGGCTTCATTTCAACATTCCCCATGACCACCATTTTTTCCACGTACAGATACAAGGCCCCAGGAGCAACCATACATACAGTATACACAGCCAAAAAACTCCACGCCACCCTCACCCGCACAGTTTTACTTCTGTTTGGTTTTATAAATTGTAAAAGTTTCTTTTTCCTGAACATTTTTTTAAATATTTAAACTTCAACCAGAAAAGCTCTTCCTTTGTAAACCAAAAGATACCTGCTGGACGTGCTCTAATGCTACAGGGGTCGCCTGAGTGAAGAGCTCGATGTGAATGTTCTGACCAGGGTCCTCGAGGATCAAACATCCGATGTCAAACCACCTGGAAACAAAAAGAAGGTTTTGTTGTTGTTTTTAGAGCTTTTAACTAAATCTTAACGCTTTTGTTTGTTGCCACAAAAAAACATCAAACTGCATCAAACGTGAATATTTGGCTTGCATTTTATTCAACACATGACTAATTATAAAGTAAATAATGGAAGATGAAAGGTGAATAGAAATGTCAAAAAGCATTTCTGTCCTGTTGTAGATGAAAACTGTTGTAGCCCAGCATCCACACGTTTTTTTGTTTTTTATGGGATGCTCCGAGCTGTTTACAGCAGTACTGCGCACTGTTTGTGAGACAGAAAGTCCGCTAGGCCTCTAAGAATGCGTGTGCTTTCTTTTCAGAAGTCAGTCAAAACCTTCTTACTTGTCAGGAAAAAGTTCAGCAATGAAGTTTTCTAAAGAGACCACTGGCTGTCTCTCGTGGATCACACCAGCTCGACGCAGACTGTCAATGCGCTCCTGAGCCCCCTGCAGACACACAGGGACAGACAGACACACACATGTATGACTGAAGCTGCAAACACCAGTGCTGTCAAGAACTAAACTGAAACAAACTCAGACACTAGTAATACTTATGTAACTGGGATATTTCAGCATTTTATTTTGAACTAAGAAACAAATAAGTAAACTTAAAAATGACCAGACTGATATTTTAATAAACTAATACATCATCATAATTAACATTTTTCTCTTTTACTGTGCGTAGAGATATTAACTAAAATGAGCCTTGACTCATAAAATGTGGAACTCTCTATGCAATCCAGTTATTATGATTAAAAGGTTACACACAATTTTTCAGAAGCAACCTATTTTGTGTTTCGTTTTTCCCACAATATTAAGACTCAGTTCTCAAAATATTTCCTCTTAACAAATCTAGCACTGCATGATTTATATACATTTTTATCCTCACACGTGATGGTCTTAAAAGCCATGTCATTTATAAATAAATAAGCTATAAAACCTATTCAAGGAAAACAAACATTTGATGCTTGAAAAAAGTTGAACGAGAAAGAAATGAAGTAACGTAAAAGCGAAGTCCACTGACCTTGACACCGGCGGCATAGCCCACAGGCTGTGGAGCAATGTTTGACTGACCAGACTCTCCGGTGACCATGGCCAGCCCAAAAACCTCCTGGAAAGCATCTCTAACTGCTCCCACATTCATCTCCTTATCTGAAGTCACAACGATGTCAATGTCCCCACCAGACTCTGAGGATGAACAACACAGAAACATTTATTAAGAACATTTGAATGTTTTGTACATTTTTTTTTTTAATTGGGTAAAACAGGGTAACTTACTGATGTATGGGGCCATGCCAGGATCAAGAGTAGTGATCATGGACTCCACAGAGTGTTTGGTTTTGTCTAAGACTGTCTTTACTACAGCGTTTCCTGCTACTCCCTGAGGGGACACAATACACACAGAATAAGACTACCCAAAAATATATATACACACACACACCACACTTAACCAACTGTTCCTATTAACTTTAATTAAAGAAGAACTTCATCATTGTAAAGACTTTTTATGTTTGAAAAATATGTCCTACCATATCGCAAAAAAGCTACAGGGAACATCAAGCTTCAAAAGTCCCCTTTCACACATTTGTATTCTACCTTAAAAAAGCCCCAGATGCCTCCACCACTGTTGGTGTCTCCAGACACTCTGGGATCCTCCTGTTCCTCCGGGAACGTGATTGAAGATCCAGTATCTAATCCTCCTCTAATGACTGACTGCTGAAGCATGGGGTTGGACACCACACCTGAAAATATGGAACATTTTTTAACAAGTTGTACTTTTTTTTTAAAATAAATCAATTGTTTACAGAATGTCCTCTGAGCATCTGCTGCTGTTCTGTTTTGCGCTTCCCTATTGGCTAGATTGTGAGGTTGCTGCTGCGGTAGCCCATGCAGTTGCTTCTCCAGTCTCTGATTCTGTAGTCTGACAGACTTTAACTACACAGTCGTCTTGGAATTCAGCTAACAACGCTAGCTCTTTCTCTGCTCTGGAAATCTGCTGTGAGTTTGAGGACTACTGTAAAAAATATGATTTATTACCCTTATGTCTTACTTCTAAGTTAAGGGACATTCATTTCAGCTTTCAACACCCTGTTGTTATGTGTCTCAGGGGCCCTAAACCTGCACATGAGGTCTTCCCAGGTGTGGTACCACACTATCGGGCGTCTATCTTGTACTTAAAGCTTGCTCCTGTGCTGCCATGATTAGTGCCTCTGTGCCGTCTCATATTGGTCACCTGCCACCTAGAGTACATCTTGGATGGTTCTCTGGAGAACTTCTGGTTTATTCTTCTGCCTCATATCTCTCTGGAACACCTCTTCAAGCATGTGGCCAGGGCTGAGAGTCCTTGCATGGCAGGTTCCCAGGCCTCAGGTATGGACAGTTTGCTGTACTTCTTGGGTACCCCTTTCCTCATTGCACCTTTCTGCAGCTCCAATAGTTGGCTGACTTCCTTCCACACTGCCTTGATCTTGGCCTCCAGTCTTCTTCTCCATGGAGGGCACTGCTCCTTGTGGCTGTTCATCTGGTGGCCAACCATCTCTGTGATCACTACTGTCATAATGTAGATTAGTGGGTTAGTTTCCTAATCATCCCAGTAATGGATTGTCCATAATGCTGCATTCACATCGTCTAGCAGACTTTCAGAGGGTACTTCACATTTGTCTTGGTAATCGGCCATGAAGGGTTCAGGTTTCCAGCTTCACCATGATCCTCTCTCTCAGGTCAGCTTCTCTCGCACTCAATGCACCTCCAGTCATACTTGGGGCTTGCTACTCGACCGCTGACTTTACTGGGACTTCATAAGAAACAACAGTTCTTAGGTCCATTATAATAATATAGATGGGCAGTTCTGATAGCATTGCTCCCACATTGATGTTTTTGATTTGTTATTAGCCATAACCACGAGCCGCATCCTTAATGATAACTTAACTAAACGTTAAGTGCCAGTGGTGTAGAAACTGGAGTTTCACGGACCTTCCAAAATTGCTTTCAAAAGGGTTGTTCAGTGTTGTGAATGACAGCTAGTCAAGCGAGGTGTGCTTGCCTGTTCAGGTATAACGTGAAGGTATTTTTCAACTGGAGAAGGCAAAGATGCCTCTGTTGGTATCAATACTGTTGCAAATGAGTATCTAATTTGATAGTAATATTTAGTGTTGGCTAGTATGTGGGTATTCTGGGTGTCAAACTGATTTGGTTCCAGTTTTTAAAAGAGCATAAATGTGTTTATCAGATTCGAAAATTTCACCCGAGCTTCACATTTTTCACTCTGACCTGGTATAGAAGCAGGACTGGAAAATGTTGGCATCAGCGGTGTCTGTGGGGTTCGACCAGCATGACCCCGTGTGATGTCATATCCTGCACCCACGGAGAAGCTCGATACAGGCGGACCTACAGGAGGGGGCAACATGCTGGAAGCAGTAGAAGGAGGTCTGATGGAAGAGGCCTGAGGAGGCAAAGAGAAGGAGGCAGCAGGAGGGACGGGAGAGCTGCTGGTGAAAGGTGAGGCCAGTGTTGAGGCAGGGGGAAATTGGGAAGAAAGGGAAAGCGGTGCAGCCAGAGGGCTGCTGAAGGCAGGAAGTGGTGGGACACTGGGGAGAGAAGTCGAGACTGAGGGGGAACTGATTGTTCCTGGGAGAGGGAGCGAAGTGGACAGACCTGAAAAACAAAGAGAAACATCCAATCAGAGAGAGCTTTCCCTCTACTCATCTGCTTGCCATTTTCTCACTCTGCAGGTCTTTATATCCTCAGCTCTGCTCTTTAGGCCTGAAACCCGTCTGATTTCACTCTTTATTTGCTTGAATTAGTTCTCTAGACTCTCTGCTCGGGTTACCTTGCAACATCTCGCTATTAGGTGACTGCTAGAAGTAAAATTGCTAATATTAACATTCACACCGCACAGGTAAATATTTATGATAACTGTGTAATACTTTGATATTGCTGAAATGAGTTTTACTTCTTACTCTTCTTACTCCTAAACTGCTATTTAGAGTTATGAATGTTAACTACTATAGCTTTTAAGGAAAGGAGGAGCCATGTTTGGCTGTCTGCAGCAATGTTGTGTCCAGTTGTGTGCCAGCTGAAGAAGGCAAAGACAGCACAATACTGTTGCAAGTGAGTGTCTTAATTGAATATTAATTTTCCAGTTTTAATATTACAAGCCATTCAGTCCCTGTACAACCACAGCGAGTGCTTAATTAGCATTGCCAGCAACAAGTTGGACTTGTTTCCAGAGGATGTTGGACTTCATCAGGGATGCACTTTGTCATTGATTCTGTTATGAACAGAATTTCTAAGCGGAGCCACATGGCTGAGCTTCTCTGTTATTGTTACTTCCCTGCAACCCAGCTCTGGATAAGTGGTAGAAAATTGATAGATGTTGTATCCATAACGTCCACATCAACAGAATTTAAATTTATTTACACGTATTACCAATCTTGAATTTGTATCAACAATGTGAACTGTAGCAAATGACATTTAAAATCTCGACTCAGCTAAGCTACAAGCAAAGGGAATGTTGATTTGCACATCAAATGTCTTACCAGCAGAGGTGGGCAGGCTTCCGACTGGGCCACCCACAGTCAGAGGGGTGGGGCTGGCAGGAGGTGTAGTCTCAATCCCACTTTCTTCCATCATATTCTCTGTAGTATTTATTTTAACTTCAGCCCAGAATTGCTGCAATAAGATGTTGTGATGAATTATATTGTGTTCAACTTGTCGGTCGATTGTTCATTTCCTGCATGTACACTCTGGGAACTATAGCACATAAAGTTTGACTGACAATAATGTTTATTAAACCTTTTTTCACACCAAGGAAGAAATTTAGAAATTTCTAAAGTTAAATCTATAAGTATATGAACACAGCCACAATTTTCTATTTTTTTTATTTTGCACACTACCAATGTTTTTTGTCTATCAAACAATCAAGATGTGATTGATTTTAGTACTGACTTTCAGCTTTAAGTTAGTGGATATAAACTAAAGTATTGCACTGGTGATGCCATGGTTGTTTGCAGGTAGACCAGCTCCATCAATACTAAAAGGTATATACAGATTTTAAAGAAACATATGCTCCCATTCAGATGATGTCGAGGCCTTGCATATTTAAGCAAGACAATGCTGAATCACATACTGCATCTATTACAAGAGCATGTCTTTGTATTAAAAGAGTAAGGGTGCTGAACTGGCCTGCCTGCCGTCCAGTGCAGATTATTGTGAACTTCTTTTTATTGATTGAACAGGTATCCTCGGTTTTCTAAATCAACAAATTGATACATGCACCTTCCTGTGACAATGCATCGCACAGTTTGAGCCTCATTTATTGGCTTAAGTAAGGTAGACTTGTGCCTGATTTAGACTTCTGCAGAGAACCTTTGAGGATTCGAGGAGCCTATGAAAACAAAAGTGTTGTTGCCCACATTTATGCCTGTGTGTAGTGCACACAGAATCAGCATGGCTGCACCCTCCTATGTCAGTATGCATACTGCAGCAAAACGCCATCCCAATGGATTTAGTTGGACGATCATTTATTTTTCCAACATGACAATGACCCCAAACACACCTCCAGCCTGTGTAAGGGCTAGTTGATGAAGAAGGAGAGTGATGGAGTGCTGCATCAGATGGCCTGGCCTCCACAATCACCTGACCTAAACCTAATTACAACCATTCCAAATTGAGATGGTCTGGGATGAGATGGACCGCAGAGCGAAGTCAAAAGGGCCAACAAGTGCTCAGTATCTCTGAACTCCTTCGAGACTGTTGGAAAACCATTTCAGGTGACGACCTCACGAAGCTCATCGAGAGAACGCCAAGCGTGTGCAAAGCAGTAATCAAAGCAAAGGGAGGCTATTTTGAAGAGCCTAAAACAAGTTCTCGTTTACTACATAATTCCATATGTGTCCATTTATTTTTTGGTGCCTTCAGTGAGAATCTACAATGCAAATAGTCATGAAAATAAAGTTGAAAAAATATTAAATGAGAAGGTGTGTCCAAAGTTTTGACTGGTTTTGTAGATTTGTGAGTCCTTAGATGGATCATTCTGAGGCAGTGATTTTATCTTATTGTTAAATAAAAACAACAAAAAAACAACTGTGGTGAAAAAGTAGCCAGAAATGCAAATAAGGATTCAAGCGTGTTGAACAAACCAATCATAACAGCTGCAGTCTGCACTGACCCACTGTGTAATTACATTCTCGGGAGGTGCACCTCAGGTTACATGGTACGTCAGGAGTTTACAGTGACGTCATAGGTTCCCACATAGATTCCCTGTTAAACTTGGGCATTAAGCTGCGCATGTAAAACATATTCCCACAGAAAATAATCTGTATTGCAACGCATTTTAATCCAAAACTCAGAAGATAACATGCTGGGAGCAGGCTATCAGATGCGCTGTTTTAGGAGCATATAGTAATAAAATTGTTTGATCCCAACAGAAACAAACAGAAGACCCTCTTACGGTCTCCACAGAGGTCTTCCAGGAAGCGTGATCATATTTTCTGATTGATCAGCAGACCATGAATTCACGCATGGTCCTTTCTAATCTGGAATCTAGACTGCTGCAGGTCAGGCTTTGCAGCACAACCTACTACAGCGATTTACCCCAGTAAGACATGAACCACCGTCGTAGTACAAAAACCCAGGGTTAAACCTTAAGTTAAGTCCCTTTCGCACACGAAGAGGCAAGCGCTGTGCTCTGAAACAAAGCGGATCTATATCGTCTGACGCGGACACACAAGGTTTGTTCCGTGTCTGCCACGCCACAGAACGACAGGAGATCCAAATGAATGCAGTGTAGCGTTTTTTAAGACTGTTCACAACTTACACGTGCCTCACAACCCCAAAGAAAAACAGCAAAACGGACAAAGTACCATACACATCTTTATCTAATTCTCTAAAAAAGACTCAGCATGACACGTGCCACTATTATGATCATCTCTACAGAACAAGTAACTTAACTACTCACCTGCTGGCGGTACTAACACAATACACCCATAAATAATAATAAAGCGCCGACCCACAGTGATGACGTGGTGCTTTGCCACGTCTGCTCCAGCGTGACGCCTGCCGCCGTCTTACGTGGCTTACGAAACTAGTGATGTGAGAGGCTACTGATTTCCCTTTCCGATCTGATTCCAAGTAAAATTCAGGCTGGAATCGGCTGTGTGAAACTGTGTGTTTGGAAAATTTAAATCACAAGTAGTGTATTTCAAACTATACCATAATAATGTATACAAGCCATCAGACTTCTTACTTATGAAGAGTGATCATACAAGGAATAAAAAAAAATCTGAAAATGTAATACCTGCATTTAAAATGTGACTGAATTGAAAATTATAACAAAGCTGAGAAACATTTTAGTTGTCTCTGTAGCCAGAGTACAGGCCACTATTTACTCGTGTGGTGCAAGCTATTCAGTCTGTGTATTCTGTATTTTGTTTTAAAGGGTTGTGCGTGTGACTGGTTTCTTGTTTTATTAAAATGTACACTGTCTCCTGACTGTGCGCAACGAACTTGGTGCTCTTTTAGAGTTTTTCTTTGACTTTTAACGTGTTGTGTTGTGTTTTTATTACAGTGAAGCGAGGACGCACCAGTAGCCGTGGAACCTTTGGTGGTGGGTTATTTTCCACACTTCCTAAGTCCAGATCAATGTATGGTTTTATGTAATCCAGGACATTGTTATAGAATAGGCTATACCACACTTAGCTTTTATTGTTTTATTCTTTTTTTATTTTTATAAATTTATAAAAGGGTTAGGGTTAGACATATCAATATTGGACTTGGTAGTGCAGTCCCTACCAAGTCCCTAAGTTGCTGTCTGTTGAGATTGATGGTTTGATAAATGGGGTGACTGTCCCGTGCTTGGTGGATACTGGGTCTATGGTTTCCACCATCACAGAGAGTTTCTTTTTGACACATTTTGCACCTTGGGGACAAGAATGCCTTCATTCATGCCATTGGTTGCAGCTTTGGGCTGCCAATGGGCTCTCCATTCGTTTTATTGGTTATTTAGAGCTCAGTGTACTCCTGTGTGGTAAGAAATGTCCTCTTGTTGGATCCTTGTACTGAGAGACACTCCTGCTGCCATGCCCTCTGTTCTTGGCATTTTAGGGATGAATGTGACCGCTCTTATCAAGAGCTGTTTGGGGCATATGGTGGGTCTTTGTTTAATTCACCTTCCGTGTCCCAGGCACCAGGGCCAGTTTTGGAGGCCCTGCATCAGTGTCACCAGTCTGCTGACCAAGTGCCAGAGGACCCTGTAGGCACCGTCAAGGTGTGCGGCCCACGAGCCGTACGGATACCTGGTGTCGTTACGCAGCTGGTGGCCACTACATATTCCCAGCAATTCTCAGGCCTTCCTAAGTCCAGTTCAGTGTATGGTTTTATGTAATCCAGGACACTGTTATAGAATAAGCTATACCACAGTCAACTTCTATTGTCTTATTCTTTTTTTATTTTTATAAGCTTAATTAAAGACATATCAATATTGGACCCAATCTGCCTCAGTTGTGCATCCCTAAACCTGTGCGACCTTTTCAGGTTTTTAAGAAGACTTTATAGTTCTTGGGGGTGAAATTCCCCTAGGTGGCGTTGTCATTTTATTATTTGTTATATAACCCCTTGCTGTTGCTGTTTTACTGTAAGTATGCTATATATGTTTAAAGATACAGGATAGTCTATATAATCCACTTTAGGTGCGCTAAAATGTGAACAAATGGGATTCTGTAATTCTAAGGATGTGGTGAATTCTCGTCTTTTAAACATAGACACAAAAACCTAAGTCTAGACATAAGTCGCTTTCCAAAATTCTGCAACAGTATCTGCCTGCAACACCAAAGGACTCTGCGATTGATGTTTGTCTTGCCCTAGCAGCAGGCTGCACTCCTCCTTCAGCTCGCCTCATGATAAACTCATCATCATATTCTGTGTTTTAATGTACTTTTTCTTGTGTATGATGTGTCACAAACCACGTCTTGGCTGTCTGATCATCAACTGAGTGAGCAAGCACATGTTTGTGGTGATGCAGTTTTACACCCGTTTGCACATCACTATGATAGGTGAAAGAAGACATATATACCAATAATTTAGACGATCTCTGTGATATATAGTGTCCTTCTACTGCTGTTAATCATAAACTACAAAACTGTACAAGCTGAAAAATAAACACATTTTAATTGTTAAAGACTTGAGGACTAATGCTGTTGTTGAGGCAATAATTACATTTTTCTTTTCCCTTGGCCTTCTTTTGCTTTTCTTTTTTTTAGCATGCTAGAATATGCAAGCTAAATATATACAAAATATATACAAAAATTTTTTGGACATCTTCATGATTATTCATGCTTTTATTTCTTTAAAATAAATTTGACTAACCGACAAGCCAAATTCAAAAACCATTTAATGTCAAAAGCTCACTAAACAAAGGCATTTTAAACCATTAATCGGATTCTTCAATAATGGATCATGCCATTTAACTGTACGGCACTTCGCATCATGCATTAACAACATTAACATTACGTGTTACAGTGAAAGAAAAATGCCTGAAATAAACATCCGAAAAACAAATAAACTGCGACTGAAAAGTGTGATGCGTTGCGCTGTGCAATATTAACGATGCACGCTGGTTGAAAATTCATGACATCCACTTCAATAAAAGATCAAAATCTAATATTACAAAATGATTAATCATCCATCCATTTTCTTCTGCTTACCTGAACTCGGGTTGTTGGGGCAGCAGCCTAAGCAGGGAAGCCCAGACCGCCTTCGCCACCTCCTTCAGATTATCTGGGGAAACATGAAGGCTAGATATATTCTCTCCAGTGAGTCCCAGGTCTGTGCCAGGGCCTCCTGCCAACGGTAAATGGCCTGTATTTGTATAGCGCTTTACTTAGTCCCTAAGGACCCCAAAGCGCTTTACACAATAGGACATGATTGGTTGGGACACCTTGCCAAACCTGGAGGTGTCTGCCTGTACTGGCTCCTTTTGACTCTACTCAGAGTCCGTCCTGAGTGACTGAACTCTTCACCCTGTTGCTAAAGGAAAGTCCATGCAATTTTTAGAGAAAGCTAAATTTTTTTAGCCTTTAAAAGAACTAGCAATAACAATGTCAATAAAAAGATCAGGCCAAGATTAACGAATTTAAGTTGTTTTTTCACCAGCCATGCTCCATCTGGTTAGGACAAAATTATTAAAAAAAACATTGGGTATCAATTAAAATGTAAAACAATTAGATTAGTATTAGTACATCTGGTGCCAATAGCAATGATTATTTGGCAAATCTACTAAGCTCGGACATCCCTAATTTTTAGACCTTACAAAATGTCATCTACATTATAACAAAACATCAAGTGAAACATTCAAGTATGTGTGTCCTTCGGCTCCTAGGAGGAAGTCAGAGTACCTGAAAATAATTCATACAGGCACAAGGAAAACATGCAACCAAGTCTACATAAAAAGACTTTTTGAATTCAGAACCTTCTTGCTGTGAAGTGCTAACTAATACATCATTGTGCTGTCACAGTGAAAAAGTTACTTTTGGTTGACCCCTTACACACAAGGAGTCACCACAGCAGGTAGCTTCACATGATGAATCTCAAAAGAGATCGCCATCCTATTAGAACATTTTTATAGAGCCATAATAAGAGCTCCTATTATTGTCTCTTATTATTAGGGCAATATTAAGAGCTCTGCAAATCAAATCAGAATATGTTACAAAATTCATAAACTCTGAACTGAAAGAGCCAGATACATCTTCTACATTAAACTGAACTACTCAAAAGTCCATTTGAAATATTAAAAATACATATTAATTTATCTAAATTGTAATAATACAGTATAAATGTAGATTATAGCAATTTCTCTCTGAAAACAGTATAACAGTTGAGAGGAGGCTGAAAAAGAATTCGTTTTCTATAAGGGTGAAGTTGTCTGTTATTGTCAGGACCCGGGCTCCCCAGTGGACGCTTTTCCCTCTCTCTCTCATTCTCTCTGCTTGCGTTCCAGGTCATGCCTAGGTGGGGCTCCTGAGTCACCACCCAACTCAGGAGCAATCTAGAGCTACTTAAGGCACAGGAGGACTACCAGTCGTCGATGGAACATTGATCCACTTTGGTAGTGAAACCCTGGCCCGTGCAAGTCACTTTGGTTTGCAAATTTCCCCGTCGCAATAATAATAATAATTATTAATAATAATAATAATAATAATAATAATAATAATAATAATAATAATAATAATGTATACTTTATTTTTTACTTTTAACACATTGCAATGTGGAGAAATCGTTCAGATCAAACGCCAAACATTTTTATGAGGATGGACACCACCCTGGACTCTTTTATACCTTTCCAGAACACTCTCAAACAAACAGCATCTCTATATCTTCAGTCCCATCCTTAAAACCTTCTCCCTCAGAGAGAGAATTATGACCTTGTTTTCTGCTTAGCCATCACCTAAGGATTTAAATCCCTGATAAGTAGAAGGCGTCTCACTATCTGTTTTATGTCTCCCATTACAATGGCCTCACTGTGTGTGTGGAGCATAAGGCCCACTTGTAGTTCACATGCATACAACTAAGTGACAGGAGTGCTCTTGCTATTCTAAAGTGATATGATTAAAATATGTGATTAATACATGAGAAAAGAAATCTGCCACCACAGAAGGAAACTGAGCTAGTGCATGAGGTTGAGCTAGATATGGTTTGGCTCTACGCAGCAAACAGCTTGGGATCTAGAACCACCTTGAAGTATACCAGTGGACACTACAGTGGACACTACAGTGGACACGACATATGAAGGGAGTCATAAAGCTGCTGGACAGCAGCACTTCATTAAACAGGCAAGTACAGTAAAATCTACCCTGTTAAATATGCTTCATTCAAAGAGATACATGTTGAGTGAAATTATACTGGCAGAAGACAATTAAGGTAAATGCTTTGTTTGCCATTTTTATTCAGAAATGTGAAATTGTGGCAAGCAGTTTTATTCCTATAGGACATAGTTACCAGCATAAAAAAAGAAAATTTTATTATATTTTGCCAAACTAATCATAAAAT